CTCCCATGCACTCCCATGCACTCTCCCATGCACTCTCCCATGCACTCTCCCATGCACTCTCCCATGCACTCCCATGCACTCTCTCATGCACTCTCCCATGCACTCTCCCATTCACTCTCCGATGCACTCCCATGCACTCTCCCATGCACTCTCCCATGCACTCCCATGCACTCTCCCATGCACTCTCCCATGCACTCTCCCATGCACTCCCATGCACTCTCCCATGCACTCTCCCATGCACTCTCCCAAGCACTCTCCCATGCACTCTCCCATGCACTCCCATGCACTCTCCCATGCACTCTCCCATGCACTCTCCCATGCACTCCCATGCACTCTCCCATGCACTCCCATGCACTCTTCCATGCACTCTCCCATGCACTCCCATCCCATGCACTCTCCCATGCACTCTCCCATGCACTCTCCCATGCACTCCCATGCACTCTCCCATGCACTCTCCCATGCACTCCCATGCACTCTCCCATGCACTCCCATGCACTCTCCCATGCACTCTCCCATGCACTCTCCCATGCACTCTCCCATGCACTCCCATGCACTCTCCCATGCACTCCCATGCACTCTTCCATGCACTCTCCCATGCACTCCCATCCCATGCACTCTCCCATGCACTCTCCCATGCACTGTCCCATGCACTCCCATCCCATGCACTCTCTCATGCACTCTTCCATGCACTCTCCCATGCAGTCCCATGCACTCTCCCATGCACTCTCCCATGCACTCTCCCATGCACTCTCCCATGCACTCTCCCATGCACTCTCCCATGCAGTCTCCCATGCACTCACATGCACTCTCCCATGCACTCTCCCATGCACTCTCCCATGCATTCCCATGCACTCTCCTATGCACTCTCCCATGCACTCTCCCATGCACTCTCCCATGCACTCTCCCATGCACTCCCATGCACTCCCATGCACTCTCCCATGCACTCTCCCATGCACTCTCCCATGCACTCTCCCATGCACTCTCCCATGCACTCCCATGCACTCTCCCACACAGTCTCCCAAGCACTCTCCCATGCACTCTCCCATGCAGTCCCATGCACTCTCCCATGCACTCTCCCATGCACTCTCCCATGCACTCCCATGCACTCCCATGCACTATCCCATGCACTCTCCCATGCACTCTCCCATGCACTCCCATGCACTCTCCCATGCACTCCCATGCACTCTTCCATGCACTCTCCCATGCACTCCCATCCCATGCACTCTCCCATGCACTCTCCCATGCACTGTCTCATGCGCTCCCATCCCATGCACTCTCTCATGCACTCTTCCATGCACTCTCCCATGCAGTCCCATGCACTCTCCCATGCACTCTCCCATGCACTCTCCCATGCACTCTCCCATGCACTCTCCCATGCACTCTCCCATGCACTCCCATGCACTCTCCCATGCACTCCCATGCACAATCCCATGCACTCTCCCATGCACTCCCATGCACTCTCCCATGCACTCTCCCATGCACTCTCCCATGCACTCCCATGCACTCTCCTATGCACTCTCCCATGCACTCTCCCATGCACTCTCCCATGCACTCTCCCATGCACTCCCATGCACTCTCCCATGCACTCTCCCATGCACTCCCATGCACTCTCCCATGCACTCTCCCATGCACTCTCCCATGCACTCTCCCATGCACTCTCCCATGCACTCTCCCATGCACTCCCATGCACTCTCCCATGCACTCCCATGCACAATCCCATGCACTCTCCCATGCACTCCCATGCACTCTCCCATGCACTCTCCCATGCACTCTCCCATGCACTCCCATGCACTCTCCTATGCACTCTCCCATGCACTCTCCCATGCACTCTCCCATGCACTCCCATGCACTCTCCCATGCACTCTCCCATGCACTCCCATGCACTCTCCCATGCACTCTCCCATGCACTCTCCCATGCACTCTCCCATGCACTCCCATGCACTCTCCCATGCACTCTCCCATGCACTCTCCCATGCACTCTCCCATGCACTCCCATGCACTCTCTCATGCACTCTCCCATGCACTCTCCCATTCACTCTCCGATGCACTCCCATGCACTCTCCCATGCACTCTCCCATGCACTCCCATGCACTCTCCCATGCACTCTCCCATGCACTCTCCCATGCACTCCCATGCACTCTCCCATGCACTCTCCCATGCACTCTCCCATGCACTCTCCCATGCACTCTCCCATGCACTCCCATGCACTCTCCCATGCACTCTCCCATGCACTCTCCCATGCACTCCCATGCACTCTCCCATGCACTCCCATGCACTCTCCCATGCACTCCCATGCACTCTTCCATGCACTCTCCCATGCACTCCCATCCCATGCACTCTCCCATGCACTCTCCCATGCACTGTCTCATGCACTCCCATCCCATGCACTCTCTCATGCACTCTTCCATGCACTCTCCCATGCAGTCCCATGCACTCTCCCATGCACTCTCCCATGCACTCTCCCATGCACTCTCCCATGCACTCTCCCATGCACTCTCCCATGCACTCCCATGCACTCTCCCATGCACTCCCATGCACTATCCCATGCACTCTCCCATGCACTCCCATGCACTCTCCCATGCACTCTCCCATGCACTCTCCCATGCACTCCCATGCACTCTCCTATGCACTCTCCCATGCACTCTCCCATGCACTCTCCCATGCACTCTCCCATGCACTCCCATGCACTCTCCCATGCACTCTCCCATGCACTCCCATGCACTCTGCCATGCACTCTCCCATGCACTCTCCCATGCACTCTCCCATGCACTCTCCCATGCACTCTCCCATGCACTCCCATGCACTCTCCCATGCACTCTCCCATGCACTCTCCCATGCACTCCCATGCACTCTCCCATGCACTCCCATGCACTCCCATGCACTCTCCCATGCACTCTCCCATGCACTCTCCCATGCACTCTCCCATGCACTCCCATGCACTCTCCCATGTACTCCCATGCACTCTTCCATGCACTCTCCCATGCACTCCCATCCCATGCACTCTCCCATGCACTCTCCCATGCACTGTCCCATGCACTCCCATCCCATGCACTCTCCCATGCACTCTCCCATGCACTCTCCCATGCACTCTCCGATGCACTCTCCCATGCACTCACATGCACTCTCCCATGCACTCTCCCATGCACTCTCCCATGCATTCCCATGCACTCTCCTATGCACTCTCCCATGCACTCTCCCATGCACTCTCCCATGCACTCTCCCATGCACTCCCATGCACTCCCATGCACTCTCTCATGCACTCTCCCATGCACTCTCCCATGCACTCCCATGCACTCCCATGCACTCTCCCATGCACTTTCCCATGCACTCCCATGCACCCATGCACTCTCCCATGCACTCTCCCATGCACTCTCCCATGCACTCTCCCATGCACTCCCATGCACTCTCCCATGCAGTCTCCCAAGCACTCTCCCATGCACTCTCCCATGCAGTCCCATGCACTCTCCCATGCACTCTCCCATGCACTCTCCCATGCACTCCCATGCACTCTCCCATGCACTCCCATGCACTATCCCATGCACTCTCCCATGCACTCTCCCATGCACTCCCATGCACTCTCCCATGCACTCCCATGCACTCTTCCATGCACTCCCATCCCATGCACTCTCCCATGCACTCTCCCATGCACTCCCATGCACTCTCCTATGCACTCTCCCATGCACTCTCCGATGCACTCTCCCATGCACTCTCCCATGCACTCTATCATGCACTCTCCCATGCACTCCCATGCACTCTCCCATGCACTCTCCCATGCACTCCCATGCACTCTCCTATGCACTCTCCCATGCACTCTCCCATGCACTCTCCCATGCACTCCCATCCTATGCACTCCCATCCCATGCACATTCCCATGTACCTCTCCCTTCATACACGCCATGTACTCCCCTGTGTGCCGCTCCCCCTCATGCACACCCACTCCCCACCAACCCACCTTGATGTTCCCCCCCCACCATCATCTTTTTCTCACCATGATGTTCCCCCCCCACCATCATCTTTTTCTCACCATGATGTTCCCCCCCCACCATCATCTTTTTCTCACCATGATGTTCCCCCCCCACCATCATCTTTTTCTCACCATGATGTTCCCCCCCCACCATCATCTTTTTCTCACCATGATGTTCCCCCCCCCCATCATCTTTTTCTCACCATGATGTTTGCTTTCTTGATCACATTACACGCCATGTACTCTCCCGTGTGCCGCTCCCGGCACACCACCACATCCCCAAAGTACCCCTCCCAAGCACCTCCTCCATCATCTCATATCTCTCCTCCACTCGCTCTAACGGCCGGCCAATCACGTTCCACCACCTGTCCGCCGCCCTTCCATCACCACCATTGCTTCTCTCCTCCTCACCCATCCCAACCCCTATTTGCTGCCTCTTCTCCTCCCCATGCCCCCCCACACCACGCCTTGAGTCCCACCCATGCTTCGGAGGCACCTCAGAAGCCGTTCGTTGCGCCCCGAAAATTTGGAATTTCTGCTGCTCGTGCCCCATGCCATGGCTCATGTCACTCAACATCCTGCCATGATGCCCTGTTGCTGCCATCATGCCCTGTTGCTGCCATCATGCCCTGTTGCTGCCATCATGCCCTGTTGCTGCCATGATGGTCCATGCCATAGCCTGTGCCTTGCCCCATGCCGTGCCCCATGCCTTGGCTCATGTCACTCCCCATCCGGCCGTGATGGCCTGGTGTTGCCACCATGCCTACCCCATATCCCTGCCATAGCTTGTGCCTTGCCCCATGCCTTGCCCCATGCCTTGCCCCATGCCTTGCCCCATGCCCTGATGATGTGGCGATGGTGCTGCATAGTATGGTGGAGGTACGTGATTGGCTGGCGATGCATGTTGTTGCATGGGGGCGTAATGGGAAGGGGAGACGTGATTGGGCGGCGGGAAGACGCGATCGGAAGGCGGCGAGACATGATGGGGCGGCATGCAGATGTTATTGGGCGGCGAGACACGGTGAGGGGTGGAGATTTAATTTGCATGATGATGTCGCGGTGCCACGAAGCTCAGATTGTGTGGCAAAGAATCCTCCGAAGCCGATGCCAGCTGGGCGGCATGTTTGCCGTGATCCAACGACTGAGATCGCGAGTACTGCTGCTCCATCTGACGGTCGAAAACCTCCCCTTCTTCCCGTTCCTGCTGCAAAGGCTGCTGCAGTTGCAGTTTCTTCTTAATCTTCTTCACCTTCTCAACCTTCCCCTCCTTTTCCTTCCCTTCCTTCTCCTTCCCTTCCTTCTCTTTCCCTTCCTTCTCCTTCCCCTGCTTTTTCACCTTCACTACTTTCTTCCCCTTGTCCGCCTTCCCTTCCTTCCCCTCCTTCTCCTTCTCCTCCTTTTCTTTCTTCTTGACCTTCTTAACCTTCTCACCCTTGGCTTTCCCTTTCTTGCCCTTCCCCTTCACCCCCTCCTCCTCACCATCCTGCACCATCCCACCACCTGACTTCCTGAAAGCACCGCTCACCCCTCCTGCTCCATCCATCCCTCCCACCTCCTGCCCACCCACCCAAGATCGCCTTTCCTCCTCCTCCTCCTCCTCCTCCTCCTCCTCCTCCTCCTCCTCCTCCTCCTCCTCCTCCTCCTCCTCCTCCTCCTCCTCCTCCTCATCCTCCTCCTCCTCCTCCTCATCCTCCTCCTCCTCCTCCTCCTCCTCCTCCTCCTCCTCCTCCTCCTCCTCCTCCTCCTCCTCCTCCTCCTCCTCCTCCTCCTCCTCCTCCTCCTCCCACGCCCTCTCGCCAACCTCCTCCCCTCCTTCCTCCATAAACCCCTGTGCATGTGAACAAGCGTTCCTCCCCCTCCCCCCTTGCTCCTCCCTACCATGCGCATCTGAATAAGCCTCTCATGCTCCAGCCCATCCGCATCAGCAACAATTGCATCTGCAGCAACAGCTATCGCCACATCATCATCATCATCAGAATCATCCTCGTCATCATCATCATCATTATCATCATTATCAACATCACGGTCCTCCTCCTCCTCTTCCCCCTCCCCTTCCCCCCCTCTCGCCTTCTCTTCGCATTCTCTCCTCACCACTACTGTACACCCCGTCTCCTTGTTAACCCCTACTTCTATCATAACCCTCATTGTGATTGTAAGATTCGGTTCTATCAAATCTCTTGCTGTCATTGAAACTGGCGTCCTCGTTATAAGCATGGTCATTAGAGTCATTGTGGCAATCGCCCTCGTTATACCCTCCATTGACTGCTGCCCTGAACCCATTCTTCCTGTAACCACCAACTTGCTGCTTCTGCTGCCCTTGCCCTTGCTCTCGTTCACGCTGCTGCCCCCATTCGACTTCTTCTAGTTCACCCCATTTATCCCTCTCCTGCTGCTCCTCCCATAAATTCCTTTCCTCATCCTCCTTCTCCTCTTCCTCCTCCCATAGCTTCCTTTCCTTCTCATCCTCTTCCTCAAACCCTACTTGCTGCTTCTGTCCTTGCCTCTTCTGCTGCTCCTGCCACCCATCTCTTTCCTCATCCCCCTTTTCCTCGTCCTCCTCCCATAAATCCCTTTCCTTATCCCCCTCCTCCACCTCCTCCTCCTCCTGCTGCTGCTGCCCTTGCTTTGTCTGCTGCTTCTGCAATCGTTGGCCCTGCATCTGCTTTTCCTGAGTCAAATTTCTTGCAAGAGCAGGGGGTGTGGCTACTGAAAAAACATCCTCCTCCTCCTGCTCCTCCTCCTGCTCTTCCTCCTCCCTCTCCTCCTTCCCTCTCTGTCCCTCCATCCCCTCCCTCCCTTCCCTCCCTTCCCTCTCGTCCCTCCCCTCCCTCCCCTCCCTCCCTCCCATCTTCCTCCCCATACTCATCCCCATACTCATCCCAACCCCCATCCGACCTCGAGTCACGTTCGGCAGAGCTCCCATCTCGCCCTGCCGTCCTGCTACGAAAATCCTTGTTATAAGGCGACCTGAAAGGAGATTCCTCCCCGTAATCATCATCGTCATCATCAAAACCACCATAAAGGTCGTCGTTGCCAGCTGTCGCCGCGTGACTGGCCCCACCAAATCCTCTGCTCCCTTTGGCAAAAGCAGAGGCTGCTTCCCCTCTGTCGTCCCTCTCTCCATCACTCTCCCCCTCTCCGTCCCCCCCTCCTTCCCCACCTGGTCGTCCTCCTCCACCACACCACCTCCCCTCCCTCCTCCCCGTAATCCCTCTCTCTCCTCCCCTTACCCTCATCCCTTCGTTGGTCACCATCCTCCTCTCCTTCCTCCTCTCCTCCCCTCTCTCTTTCCTCCTCTCTCTCCTCCTCTCTCCTGTCTTCCAACTCCTCACCATAGATCTCTCCCTCCCCACCCTCATCTCCCTCCACTCCGCGCGCCTGCCTGCACTCTCCCCCTCTCCTGGCCCCGTTCCCCCTCGTCATCCCGCCACACCCCGTCTTCACTAGCCTCCACTTCTTCTCCCCTCCCCCTCTCGTCCTCCTCATTCCGCCGCTGCTGCTCCAGCTTCTCCTGCTCTAGCTGCTGCTGCTGCTGCTGCTGCTGCTGCGCCTGCTGTTGCGTCTGCTGCTTCTTTTTCCCAGGCGTCTTAGCCCCATCCCCGCTACTCGTTACAGTGCTATCTCGCAAGAAGCATAGCCCTTTAGGAAGAAATCTCAGCGCCTTGGCATATACGCCCTCCCTCACATGCAACCCCCTTCTGTCCTCCGAGTGAGACCTCTGCAACCCTAGCCCCTCACTCTCCTCCTCGCGCTTCTTCCCCTTCCCCGCTCCCCCTCCTCCCGCTCCTGCTCCTATTCCTGCTTCCCCCTCCCCCAACGCTCCCCCTGCTCCGCCACCCCCGGGGCTCTGCCCCCCCACCCCGCCTCCCCCCGCGCCCGCCTTCCCCGCCTGCTGCTGCTTCCCCACAGCGCTCTTAGACCGCACCAGCCGCCGTTCTACAGACGTTTCCAGCAGCGCTTTCGCCTTGCGGGTCCTCTCGTCCGCGCCTCGCCCCCCTCCCCCCCCCTTGCCGCCTTTCCCGCTAGCCCCTCTTTCTCCCCGGCCCTTTTCCTTAGCTTTCTTACCCGGGGTGGCCTTTTTCGAGTCTAAAGGAGGAGGGGGTTTGCTACTTCCCCAATCCTGCGAGTGGAAATTCGGGCTTCTTCCTTATCCTGAACTCTTCTCAGCCGCATGTTCAATCCAACTTGGCGGCAATCCCTTGGTCGCTGCGCCGCTTCCTGCGCTACAGGATCCTGGGAAAGCTGACGTGGCAGGCTTGACTAATGAAGGGTCTAAACCACCGACGCTGTTAAATGGGGTTGCGCCGGGAGGAGGGAGAAAGTACACGTCAGCACCATCGGCGAAACCAGGCGACGACTTTAACGGTCGACCTGGCGATCTCGTGCTCGATTTCTGCCAGTTCTGCCGCCGAGAATTGCGGGTAGTCATCAGAACTTGATTGGTGGCTCCGCGATCGGTTCATTCTCATTGGTCCCTGGCCCTGACCCTGATTCTGTGCGCGGGAATGACACTGATTGGTTCTGCCTTGTCCTTTCATATAGGCGGGAGACCCGCGCATATCTGCGGAAGGGTTGCGCATATCGGCGGACGACGTGCGCGTATCCGCGGAGCAGTTCCGCGAGTCCACGGCTGGCGGAGCCCCCTGGGAGCGGGTTTGGTGGAAGTCCTCCGAGTCGAGGCTTGAATATCGCGGTACTGCTATGACTCGCTTTGATATTATGACAATTAAATGTTACAGTGTAACTCGCAACTTTATTTTAAACATCACTGTAAACGAGGCTGGAATACAGCTGAGCTGTTACCAATCGGTTCGCCACCATGGCTATCGGAATGCGAAATGTTACGAAGTTACTGACTACGTCACCTTGCCAAGGAATCTGATGAAAACATTGCATTGTCACACCTTGTCAATGAAATGGCTTAAAGCTCCAGTATACATTTGTCAGTGAGGTTCAGGGTTTTTTATTGTGCCTCACAGTTTTGGGGCAACTTTTCAAGTTCCTAAGGATTCTGAACCCCTACTTTCAAATGTATACCGGAGCTTTAAGTCGAAGTTAGCTCACAGATAGTCTGCCTGTAACGTGACGAGGGCCAGAGTCACCAATTTACAAGAGCTAACACACGCGCCATTTGACACTACATACGCATACTACTCGCAGCGATACCCTGACTTACAAAGTGACAGGCACTGACGTACATTTTTACTTTCGAAATGTCGTTCCAGACAGCTCATGTAATGTGAAATGACAGTTTATCCATGACAAGCCCTTATCCCTGCCCCATCAGTGAGCCCTTCGGGAATGACAATGACTCATCCAAGCCATAAAAATGCCGCGCATTCCGAAGTGGGTCGCATTCAAGGTGTGACGAACATAGAATTAACAATTGGAGGATGGTCACGGAAAAGTGTTGATTTGCTGCTGCACTTTTCCCCTTTTCTGAGTCACGGCATTCGAAAGAAAATAGTATCAAACATTAAATATTACTGTAGGCTACATTGGGGTACTCAGTAGTGAGTACAACCCATTAGGGTTGTCCTATTTGTATCACCATCCTTGCTAGTCCATCTCATTCCTGTCTTCTTATTCTCACATAGTATAAGAGCATGATCGTTCCTAGGGCCCACCGAACGTTCCGTCCTGCCCTGCCCGTTTTTTTTTTTTTTTTTTTTTTTTTTTTTTTTTTTTTTTTTTTTCGGCCCTGCCCTTAGGCCCGCGCACAGCCCTGCGATGCAGCCTGCGCGCTGCGTTGCCCTGCCCTTAGGCCCGCGCGCCGCCCTGCCCTGCAGCCGCGCCCGCCCCTGCTGCCCGCGCTCGCCCCTTTAGCTGCGCTCGCCCCTGCAGCCGCACTCGCCCCTGCAGCCCGCGCTCGCCCAGCCGCCGCGCTCGCCTCATCAGCCCGCGCTCGCCCCTGCAGCCGCGCTCGCTGTCAAACTTATATGCTTTAGTCTGTGTAGGCTGTAGTGGGGTAGTTCATATAGGGTACAACACTTTTAGGTTTCCTACTTGTACCCACCTGCTTGCTAGTTCAGTCATTCCTTCCTTCTCTATTCTGACATGGTTTCAGAGCAGGTTCCCTAGTGGGAACGTTTTTTTAAGGGCACACCACGATCGTTTTCCTGCCCTGCTCGAAGCGCGCCTCGCGCCTGCCTCACCTGCGCCGTCGCGCGCCCTGCCCTACTGCCGCCCGTAGCGGCCCTGCCCTACCGGCCCGTCGCGGCCCTGCCCTAACGGCGTCGCGGCCCTGACCTAGCCGCCCTTCGCGGCCCTGCCCTGCCGCCCCCCGTTGCGGCCCTGACCTCGCAGCCCGTCGCGGCCCTGCCCTGCCGCCACCCGTCGCGGCCCTGCCCTACAGCCGCCTTGTTGCGGCCCTGCCCTGCTGCCGCCCCGTCGCGGCCCTGCTCTGCCGTCGCCTCGTCGCGACCCTGCCCTACAGCCCCCCCGTTGCGGCCATGACCTAACCGCCCGTCGCGGCCCTGCCCTGCACCCGCTCCTGGTAAGCGCGTAGCCCCTGCCCTGCCCGTCGCGTCACCCTAGGGCACGCGCGCCGCCCCTGCCCTGCCCGTCGCGTCGCCCTAGGGCCCGCGCGCCGCCCCTGCCCTGCCTGTCGCGTCGCCCTAGGGCCCGCGCGCCGCCCCTGCCCTGCCCGTCGCGTCACCCTAGGGCCACCGCGCCGCCCTGCCCTGCCCGTCGCGTCGCCCTAGGGCCCGCGCGCCACCCCTGCCCTGCCCGTCGCGTCGCCCTATGGCCCGCGCGCCGCCCCTGCCCTGCCCGTCGCGTCACCCTAGGGCCACCGCGCCGCCCTGCCCTGCCCGTCGCGTCGCCCTAGGGCACGCGCGCCGCCCCGTGCAAGCCGCCCGCGTGTCAGAACATTATAGCTTATACTTTTGTGTAGGCTGTAGTGGGGTATCCCATAGGGGGTACAACCCAATTAGGGTTAGTACTTGTACCCACTTCATTCATAGTTCATTCATTCTCGTTTCTTCTCATGGTATCGAGCAGGTTCCCTCGTGGGAACTGTTCCTAGGGCCCACCAAGTCGAAATTTTTTTTCCTGCCCGGAGCGCGCTTAGTTTAGGCCCGAGTCGCGCCTCGTGTGCCCTCTCTACTGTCGCGTTGCCCCTCGCGGCCTCCCTTGCGCCGCCCTTGCGCCGCCCGTAACGGCCCGTCGCCGCCCTTCGCGGCGTCGCGTGCCGCCCTTACGGCACGCTGCCGACCTCCGCGGCCCCTCGTGCCGCCCTCACCTGCGGCCCTGCCACCTTACCTGCGGCCCTCTGCTGCGGCCCCGCCACCCTACCCGCGGCCCCGCCACCTTACCTGCGGCCCCGCCGCCCTACCCGCGGCCCCGCCACCTTACCTGCGGCCCCGCCGCCCTCTGCTGCGGCCCCGCCACCTTCCCTGCGGCCCCGCCACCCTACCCGCGGCCCCGCCACCTTACCTGCGGCCCCGCCGCCCTACCCGCGGCCCCGCCACCTTACCTGCGGCCCCGCCGCCCTACCCGCGGCCCCGCCACCTTACCTGCGGCCCCGCCGCCCTACCCGCGGCCCCGCCACCTTACCTGCGGCCCCGCCGCCCTCTGCTGCGGCCCCGCCACCTTACCTGCGGCCCCGCCACCCTACCCGCGGCCCCGCCACCTTACCTGCGGCCCCGCCGCCCTACCCGCGGCCCCGCCACCTTACCTGCGGCCCCGCCGCCCTCTGCTGCGGCCCCGCCACCTTCCCTGCGGCCCCGCCACCCTACCCGCGGCCCCGCCACCTTACCTGCGGCCCCGCCACCCTACCCGCGGCCCCGCCGCCTTACCTGCGGCCCCGCCACCCTACCTGCGGCCCCGCTACCCTACCCGCGGCCACGCCGCCCTTACCAGCGGCCCCGCCGCCCTTACCTGCGGCCCCGTCACCTGCTGCCCTGCCGCGCCGCCCTGCCGCAGCACAGCCGAGCCGCCCAGCGACCGAGCAGCTGGACAACCGAGCCGCCCAGCAGCCCAGCAGCCGAGCAGCCGAGCCGCCCAGCAGCCGAACCGCCCAGCAGCCGAGCCGCCCAGCAGCCGAGCCGCCCAGCAGCCGAGCCGCCCAGCAGCCGCGCCGCCCAGCAGCCGAGCCGCCCAGCAGCCAAGCCGCCCAGCAGCGGAGCCGCCGAGCCGCCGAGCCGCCCAGCAGCTGAGCCGCCGAGCCGCCGCGCCGCCCTCCTTCCGGGCCGCCCGACCTGCCCAGTCTGGTGAGCACAGCGCCTTTTCACTGCACTGTCCTCACCCTACTGTTTGCGCTGCTAGTCGTCTAGGGTCATGACTACCCCTAGTGTTCTCGCCTTTGACGCTGAGGGTCGGGCCATTGACTTTGAGGTCTGGGTAGATGACCTGCAGCTGTTCTTACAGTGCGATAGGGCAGACGGCCTCTCTCTCTTTGACCTCACCTCTGGCGCCTCCAC